CTGAGGCAAAACATGGCTAACGGTCTACCGTTAAGAGGCAACACAACAGGAACATCAACTATGGCTGGAGATCAACACGGCTACGCTTCCGCTATCATACGAGGTCAGGTTTCTCGTATACTATGGTTTATTATAGTTAGTTAGACTATTGTATATCTAACACATGCTTCTTGCAGTACTTACAGGATTTGTTGGACTTTGATCTAGATTTTTTATTGCTACTCTCTGTTTCAAGTGAATGACCCCTTACAGTCAAGCCTTCACCTTTGTCCTCATACTTAATTTCAAAGTTAAACTTTTCTTTGGACAATAGGTTTGACTTAACATTGTCGAAAGTAAGGGTATCACTACTATTACCATACAGCATAATTTCTTTGAAATGCTTGTACGATTTAGGGAGAGAAACAAGCAATAAAACAGCACGATCCTCATCGTCAATTATGACATCAATATTTTCCAAGTCCAATAAAATAGAATTGAATTCATCTAAGTGAGATTTAATAGAAGTACCTTCCATCATACGGATTGTGTACAGACGCTCCTTCAGGCGTAGCGTATTCGCCAGAGTTTTGGCCATGTAAAGCGCATCCAGCTTGGACCATAAATCTGACACAGTCGTCTCACTTACTACCTCACGTAGAACTTCTTTAGACATGCACAAAAGAATGGTTGAACGTGCCTTGTCATCCAGATCTTCCCAATCTACATCTGTCATTATAGCCGGTTTCTTCTTCTTCCCAGCTAGCGCTTTCTTCAAACTGATCTGGGTTAGAACGGCTTCCATCTGAACCTTCCAGATAGAAAAGCTAATTTTCTCGTCGAACTTCTCGATATCGAACTTGGTAACAGTCGACATCTTTGAAAATAACTCTCAATTTAACCGCTCTGATACCACTTGTTAGGAATATAGCGGAATAATGCGGAAGCGAAGAATCGAAAATTGAGAATATTTATAGAAGTTAAATAATAGGGGAAAATATCTAAATGACAAAATAAGAAATTGATGAATTGGGAAAATATAAAATATATATATTAAACTCTAAAAGAGTATAAGGAAAACAAAAAAAAAAAAAAAAAAAAAAAAAAATATATATATATATATATATATATATATATATATATATATATATATATATATATATATATATGTATTCTACGTGGGGACAAAAAGAAGGAAAGGGAATGAATTCAATATTGATGCATTCGATTGATGTGTTTACATTACAAAAGAAATAGCATATTTATACAGTAAAGGGAGAGACAAATGCGTCAATTACAAAGAATGAGAGCAAAGATAAGATAATGTGCAAAGGAACGTGGACATGCAGCACGCGATGCGGATGATTGAGGATGAAGTAGTATCCACTGATTTGAGCCACTACACACATTATGTTATTTCCTAACAAAGGGTCGTCAAATAAGTCGCCTTGCTAGAAAGCCTAAAATGATCATACAACTCCTTCCGGCGGAAGATGGTTGTAAGTTGTTGAGTGCTGGATTTTTGAAATCACACATATTGATAACACGTATTCTTGGAGTTAAAGAACCCGTTCAATTAGGATTAGATCAACAAAGAAGAACAAGGAGCAGGCTAGGTGAATTGGCGCGCCGAGTGATATGGCCACCAGGTCATGGTCATTCCAGAAAGATTTGGCACAGTCGTGCCTTAGGTCGTGCCAAATTGAGGCAGTGTGCACCTCATTTTGGGCGAATTAGGCACGACCATGCCCTTTGTCGTGCCATTATATGCGTAATAAAACAGTATTTAAACGCGTTGTGTTGTATTTTGGGGGAGGCAAAACATAGATATAGTTTCAGTCGGCTTCCCTTTATTTCCTTTCATCTTTTAGGCTTGGAATAGCTTAGATTACATATCATCAACACATTTTTCAATCTTTTAATTGCGGATTGAAGTCGGATTAAACCTCAACCTTTCATATTCATAGAGAAGCTTTTCCTTACTCCTTTTATTTCCTCTACAATGTTCTTAAAACTCATATGTACATTTTACTTGTCATTCTTATTTATGAAGTGTGAGTAGTTCGAATTGGGGGTCGAAAGATCTTTAATTATAACCTGCATTTTGGGTGACATCTTGAATCGGGTATTTGTCCCTGTTTTCCACAGGTTGTTCATGCAGATAGGAGGTGGTTATCCTTAATCCGGTAGAAGGTATGGCACAAGATAAGGCAAGAGGTGCAACCAAGTTAGAAACGTTACATGGGGCTTATGTGTTTTGCGCGATCAACCCGTACACTGCTATTAGCCACAAGCAAGGCGTCGTGCAAGGACGTGCATCAAAATTTCGCGGCACGTCCTATGTTCCAAAATATTTGATGGATTAGAGAAACACTTACTAGAGTTTATAAGAGACCGGTACAACTTATGTCTAGGTCATCATCATCTTCTCATTCTTTTAATTCAATATCTTGTACATTCCTTGAGTTTTGTACTTGCAGAAATATCAAAGACAATTTAAAGAGGCTGAAATGGTACTAGCTACCTATCATCTTAGTCTAACACCCCATGTCCTATTCTCATCATTCCTACATGCTATATTTCCTAATTCTATGGTTTGCCTGGGCTTAAAAATTACCAGTGATGTATAGTATCAAAAGTAATAGAATGCCTAATTGCTAATTAAAGATTCAACAAAGAAGAATAAAACACACATTAATCTAAAAGACTAATAACACGTTTGATTCATGGAATATGTTTAGAATGGTGTAGAATTCCTATGAGTACGCTTATTCTATAATTTTTTAAGTTTATATATTCATGAAAATACGTACTATTCTTAAGAATATGCTATCCCTAATAATAAATATTTGTTATTATATAGAGTATTTCAATAATTTGAATGCTTACGTAATGTCTCATTCTAAAACAAACCAAAACGGCAAAACCTAAATACAATTTCTAAAATATATACATTCCAAGAGCCAAAAATGGAATATAATTTATATTCTATATCTTACTTTTCGATTCCCTATTGAATATTATTTTTTTTTTCCTCCAAACTCAATTTTGTAAACAAAATATACTTTAAGGGCTAATTTGTATATAAATTTTTTTTCCATTTCTACATTTTTTTTTTACCATTTCTACATTAAAAACAAATAGACCAAATTCTATTAATGAAATATTTTTGTTGGCCCACCCAATTTAATTCCTCCAACTCCAATTGTCTAATCATATCCCTTTATTTGCCCGTTACCATTTCCCTCATCTACCCTCCCCTCTCTCTCTCTATAAGCACCAAAATCCTCTTTGTTAATCCCCCGTTTCCATTTGAATATATTTCCATTATTTATACTCATTACATTTTCTAAATTGAAAACAAATCGGCCCAATTCTCTAAATGGAATTTGTTTTCGTTGGCCAACCCAATTTCCTCCTATCCAAATGTCTAACCATAACCCTTTATATGTTCTTTACCATTTTCCCCCTCTACCCTATGCTCTCTCTCTCTCTCTCTCTCTCTCTCTCTCTCTCTCTCTCTCTCTCTCTCTCTCTCTCTCTCTCTCTCTCTCTCTTTCTAAGCACCGAAATCCTCTCTCTCTTTCTAAGCACTGAAATCCCCTCTCTCTCAAGTCTCATCTCACTTTAATCGTCTCTATCGCTCTCAATCTCTTTTAACTCTCGTCTCTCAATTTGAAAAAAAGGTTCTATACATCTATCAACCCGATCTCTTCAATTGTCATCAAAACTCCTTAAATTGACAAGGCAATCTCAAGTCTCATCCACTTTACTAGCTATAAGAGTTGAATATTATTATTATTTTTTTAATTTGAACCACAAAAAAATTGTTTTCTTTGTAAAGAAATTGAAATTGTGAAAACATTTAAAAATTCGTTTCGAAATATATTTTATTGAATACAATTTCTATTTTTTCTAAATTTTATATACTTAATACACCCGCATTAACAAACTTCTTTGCCATACTATATATACACACACACACACACACACAAAAACACACACACGCACACACACTACACATCTAAAAAAATTTCAAGTTTTCATTTTCATTAGAAAGCTATTAAATGAGTTAAAATCTATTTATTTATTAATTTGTTAAATATGAAACTAATTTGCACTGTTTTTTTTTTCTTCATAACAAAATAAAAATGTAGTGACAATTGATAAAAGTATCAAGTAATATAGTAACATTGTATGTTGTTATTTATGTCCTTGTGGTTAGGAAGATGGGATTAAGTTAGAAATAATAGTAAAACAAGGAAAAGAAATATGAATGCAATAGATGCATATGTTGTAATGGGTAAGTAAACATTTGTGGAGCATTGAATAGTTGGGGATGGATTAAATAGGTAGGTGATAGTAGGAATAAATAAAGAGGTTATGGTGCGTAAATAGGGGATAGGTTAAATAAATAGGAAATAGGAAATAGTGATCGTAGGTGTAGGTAGGTAGTGCTTGATTGTTAGGTAGGTAGGTGAAGGTAACACTATAAAAATAAGTGAAGTGAATATATATATATATATATATATATATATATATATATATATATATATATATATATATATATATATATGTATATAGATACATATATATATATATATATATATATATATATATATATATATATATATATATGTATATAGATACATATATATATATATGTATATATATATATATACATATATATATAGTTAAATTAATTCTCTAATAATATACATACTGAAATTAATCAATGATGAAACACTAGCAATATTTATTGGAATCTTTTTGTAATTTGTATGGCTTTTATTCCTTTTGTACGTAGTGACATTTAAATATCTTGTGGATAGTGCGAAATAGATCAGACTTCGGTTAAAATATATATTAAAAATTTTTTTTTCCAGATTACAAAAGGAGTTTAATTCGGTTAATATATTTTTTTTCAGATAACAAAAGGTGTTCGATTTAAATTTAAATTATATAATTATATTTTTTTTTCAGATAACAAAAGGAATTTTTATATATGACACACAATCAGGATGTCGTTCCCTACTCCTAAGCGCCATATGCCACAACCAAATCTGAATCAAGATATAATCACAAAAATCCTCAAAAGGCTGGCTGTGAAATCTCTGCTGCAATTTAGGTGTGTTCCAAAATTTTGGCGTGCTTTAATATCATCTCCATAATTTGTCAAATTGCACCTAAATTTTCACTCGAAAAAGGATATTAAGGTCATGACGTATAGCAGTGTAAATCGGATTAGCTATATGTCCTTGTTTTCTATTACAGAAAACAAGCAATCATCACTTCGCAAGTTTATTACATTGACCGCTCGGTCTTAATCCCTAAAGGTGGTTTCGAATTCTTGGGTTCTTGCAATGGACTCTTTTGCTTTCGTGCTAAACCATATCAAATAATGATTTGGAACCCTTCATTAAATGGAAACATCAAGACAATCCCAGATGTCTGGCGGTCGGGCAACATTATTAGTATATTTGGATTTGGATGCGACATGCATAATCAGGATTACAAGGTTGTTTATGCTTATTATGCGGAGAATAATGGTGATGAAAATGTGATTTTGGTGTATAAGTTTAAGCGTGGGTCATGGAAAAGAAGTGATAGAGGGTTTAGTAGTGGGTTTGTTTATCCCAGAATTGCTGGGTTTGTGAGTTGTAGTCTCAATTGGTGCAACAATAATTTAGATGACAGTGAATGGAATTGGAATATAATTTCTTTTAATTTAACCACTGAAACAGCCAAAGGTATAGCGTTACCCAGCCATGAACATGGAGCTGCCATTTGTATAGGTGAGTCAAGAGGATTGCTTTTTGCAGGTTTTCATCACAAACATCAAATGGAAGTTTGGGTGATGAATGAGTTTGGAGTTGAAGCTATAGCGTTACCACTTCATCATCCACTTCTCCGGGGTTCAGAGAACACTGCATACAGAGCTCCATAGACCTAATGCTAGAAGGGGTAAGAATTTTAATATCCCTTATGCTCTTGGTTATATGGTTACTAGTTATGTGGATACCCTTGTTTCACCAGCCATGATTGGTCTGTAAATGAATTGTTCATGTCATGTTGGGGGAAGAAAATTTTGCTTGTTGATGTGTTGATTTAGAGTTCATTAATGACTTTATAATTGTGTTTAATTAAATGTAAAATAGTATTTTTTTTTTTTATTGTATCATTTGTGCATGAGTGTTGATGAAGTAAATTTTACTAGCCAAGTTTGGTGAACTATAGATTTGTGTGAATGCAACACAGGTAAGATAGAAATGTTTCTAAGTTAAATTTCATTGCATTTTAATGTTTACCCACACAGACATAGTGTAAGGGGTTATGACTTTCGATGTGAGAGAGGGGGGGGGGGGGGGGGTGAAGGAATGTTGAGCATAGATGGTTAGGTTGGGTCATGGGGGCAGTGTTTAGACCAATGGTCCCTATCCGCCGACAAAATAGGTCTCCTGAACTTCTCGAGCTATAGTGTGGCTAGTGGGCATCCAGCGCTCTTCGTAGTGTCGGTGGCACCTCCCGCTACTGGGGCTGGACAAAGTGGTGCGACAAGAGGCTGGTGAGGATGGTGGAGGTAAAAAAACAAAAGAAGGGGCGAGGTAGTGGAGGAAAATGCAAATATGGTATATATTATCAAATAATAAACATTTAGTACACAAATAATGTACATTTAATATATTAGAAATATAAATTTATTCATGGTCCACCATTTAATTTGCCATTATTCCTAACTCCTTTATTTATTATTTATCAGTTTCTTGAATTGTAATCTTGAGTTGTATATAATCTATTGAACTTAATAAAGGCTCCTAATAATAATAATAATAATAATAATAATAATAATAATAATAATAATAATAATAATAATAATAATAATATTATTATTATTATTATTATTATTATTATTATTATTATTCCTATCACAATTTTGTATATCCTACTGTTCCTACCCGGTCCATGATGGAACCTGGTTTCATAAAATCATCACAAATTCACAATGTAATTCCATTATAATCACATTAATTGCATTTATGGAGATTTCCATTCTAATTTCCATAAATGCATATCGGGAGATTCGTATATATATTATCTGTTATAAAATGTATTTAGTGGACAATATTTGTAACGTCGGTAACGGACGCAATTATAGCCCATTATGTAGATTTGTAACATTTCACTATACATAATGGAGATGTACCCCTTGTATTGGATGAAGAAGTTGGATAAAGAATTATACTCTTGCTTTGTCTCTTATTTTTTTTCTCTCTGTAATTTATTTGATTAATTATGCTTGAGCTAATAGGTTACAACATGCCTCATTTATTTTCTTTATGAATTGTATGATTTAACTTCCTTATATGATTTCATTCATCATGATGAAACAAATTGACCCGGGTACGAATCAATAAATTTGTATAAATTACAGCGGTAAAATAGACAAAGATCAAGAGATAATTGTAGTAATAATATTGAGTGGATAACGCTACAAGAGTGTTGTAAGAATATAACATGATTTGTCTAATTAAAATGAGCTATAAAATTATTATTCAAATTCAAATAACAAAATAAATCCAAAACTTTAAGGAAAAATTTAAATAATAATTTATAATAATCATATACTTTTCAATTATTGAAAAGTTTTAACTTGTAGGCCAAATACAAAAATGATTCAATGCATATAGTAAACTTTATGAGAACTAGGTTAAAATTATAAATTCTAACCATATCAAAATCATATGATATGTTGACATTTACAAATTAAATTCTCAAAAAACTAAATTGCATAATTTAAAACCATAATATTATGCACTTAATTTAATTATATGCATAAAACAAACTCAAAAATAAGAATATAAAATCAAATATTCATACTCAATCAAAGTGGGCATCACAAATAATGATAACAATTTTACGACATATTGATTCCTCAGTTCAAAACTGATAACCGTTGTTTCTGTAATAATAATTACGTGAGAGTAATAACAGAATAATCAATTTCCTCAATCGTAACCCCTGACATTTAATAGCAATAACTATAAAATGTTACAAAGTATTATCATTATTTACACATATGGTTTGGATAAAAAATGAAATGGTTTCAAAATTATGATTTCAAATCACACTATCAAAATCCGGAACAAATGATGATAGTAACGGCACAAAACATTGATCCATCGGTTCAAAAACCAATTATTGTTATACTATAATAATTCTAATATATAATTTTTACTTAATAGTAATAACGGAATAATCAATTTTCTTAATTGTAACCGAACAACATTTAATTATAATATTGATAATCATCATTATTATTAAATATTACATAATATCATCATTATTACCTTATTAAAGTTGTGGACAAGCAAATTCAAATGAATTTCAAAATATGATTCTTAAAATCATAATCTAAATTATTATGACAATAATAAAATAATATTCAATTGTAATAATCATATGTTTTTTCGAAACTGTGATTCAAAATCACACTCCATAATTAAAAATATTATCAAATCATGACAAATTGCAAAATTTCATAATTGCAATGAAAGCCAGAATAATCACATAATATTATATTATAACAATTAGGTGAATTAAAATGAAAAAGCAATTGCTGAAACCGCAAGCCTTTAAAACATTTTTCGGGAAATTTTAATACTTAAAACTTAAGCCGTTTAACAAATCCGCATAATGGCATACTAAAAATAAAAGGTTTTGACGGAAATTTTTATCACCATAATTAAAGAAATTAGCACAATCATGGTAATTTTTTAAAACATACTGCAAATACCAGGAAGCAATACAATCCTAACCAATTTGAAAAACTACACCCTTTAATTAAGGACAAGAAACGCAAGGACGGGATTTCCGGAATAATGGCTCCAAAATAAACAATAATAATGGTAATCAATTGAAGTACCAATTCTATGAGGAAGTGCGAAAAGCGTAATATTGAAGATCATTAATGGAGTAGTACACTGCCGGAAATTATGAAATTTACGACCACTTGAAAGTTATCTTAAATCAAGTCGAAAGCAAAAAGTGGTCGAAAATAGCAACAAAGATTTTTCCGGATACCAAAAGTGGTCGGAACAAGGCTTTCGACTTGATTTAAGATCACTTTCAGGTGGTCGGAAATTCCATAATTTCCAGTAGTGGTAATAGCGCAACGTCTGTATCGCCTTCCACCAGAGCTTGTCAACCCGCCTGCTGCCCGCCGAAAATGACGGCAAAAGACTAGTAGCTAACCAAACTTCATGCTGACGCCGGTGGACAGCCACTCCAACAAAGACATATGGGCAACCCTCAATGACGATGCTTATGGACAACGAAATAAAAAACCCTTTTCCTCAGACAATGGCTCGGCGGCGCTGGATTACCGTAAGCGAACGACAAAATCACCACTCCGACGGTGCTACGGCCCAGGATGCCAATTGGGACGGCCAACGACACCACCACCGACATTTGTCAAACAGAAATGGCTAGGGGAAAGTTCGCAGCACCGAACAGCGCAAAAATAGTCCCCACCGCCTGCCATTCACACCACTAGACACCCATCATAATGGGCGGCAGTGCTGACATGCTCTGCCGGTAGGAATATACGGTAACACCTCGACCAGGCAAAACCAATTAAACAAAAATTCCCACATGAGCCAAATCTTAATTGACACAAACCCAGCGGCCCATCGACGTCGTCAGCCAGCCAACCATCGAAACCAAGAGCCTTCGGGGATGGAGACCTTAATGCCACTAGAAATATAGATGATATGTATGTTCTCCGATCTGCGTCGCAGCGCCAGGACGTGAACGATGACCGTCCTCGCCACTGCCCCCCTTCGCCGGAGTACAATCACGGATAGCGACAACATCAACTAGTGGCGTCGAAGGGGAAAGAAAGAAACATCGCCAAATGTAGATGAAGAAAACAAAACTGGCCGGATCTGACGGAGAAGGAACATTACCGCTCGCAACTACCACCTCGAACCCAGCTACCTAAGCTACGACCTCCTGCCTCTAGTCGGAAAACCCAACGCCGACGACGAGCCTTATGGCAATCATTTCATCATCACCGTAGTTGTCATTTCTCTAACGCCTAATAGCAGTCATCGGAGAAAAGGGTGAACTGGAGACCGTCCGAAACTCATACGCAGTCGTCGGTGAGTGGCCGGAAACGAAGACAGAAAGTTAGGAAAATAAATTCTCCCGTGAAAACATGCAGCATGTTGGAGTTTTACTTTCTTTTTTTTATTCAATACATATATATAACCTGTGCGCCATCATTATAGGTTAAGTAACAGAAACAGTTACTTATGTTTCAAACCACAACATAATGGTCATAAATGGCCTATTAACTTGTACCACTTATGGTGACATAATGGAAAATGTTACATATGATAAACAATGATAAAGACAACAGGATAATCAACAACATATGATAATCAATATCAATCAAAGGTAACATCATAACATGAATGATAACATCAATACAAGTTCATAAGAAAATGAAAGTCAAGGATCGCAATCAATGACCGTTTCCAAGTTCCAACCTTATACCAAGTTCCAAGCTTTACACTGCTCCATCTTTATTTCAATTCCAACCTGTACCTCTAGGCCACCCTGTACAACCACCGACCTTATTTCTCCTGGAGCCATTGCTCCCCACCTGGCTTTACCGCCTGCTTTTTCATAATGATCATGATCATGATATATAATAACCCCTTTCATTGAGCAAAGCTCACTGCCAGCTTTCAATCATAACACATAGTCATCGACATAGATACTTGAGGCTCAACAATAGCCCAATCAAGAATAATCAATAGAGTACAACATTTTTACAAGCTTACAACAAGAGATTCAATTGAAGGATTTCAAGAATAGACATGAAAGGAACATTTCAAGACAATGGCACAATAACGATAGACTTCAATCCAATGATTGGTGAAT